AGTTCTCATCTTGAGTATGAGGTAAAATTAAGCTCAAGTTCTTAGTTCAATAGTTCAATGCTTGCTGCTTAGAATAAAATAATAGATGACAAATTCATGTTCTGCTTGAATTGAAGATAAACGTATGTTCTATAAGAGGTAAGATCACTACATTCTGCTATGTTCCTTACTCCCAGAAAGCTGGAAAGCCCCTAAGAGGTCTCCTACTCTAAATCCCAGCCAATCAGCTTAAAGCGCTTTGTCTAGCTTCCTAGATAAAACACAATATACTTGGAACAAAGTCGATTCTGTTTAGCTCATCAATGCTGCCCCCCAACCTTGCTTCCTATACCTGCTTACTTGGTTGTTACCTGGTTACAGTTTTTCATATTAAAAAAAAACCCAAAAACCTGCCTTAGAAACAGTCATAGTCTGGCTCCCCAGTCCAGATTATGGCCCTAATTGGTCAGTTTTTGTTCAGCATTCAATAAACTTCCATCAATCTGAGTCTGGTGTCCGAGTGGTCACTATGCAGCTATTCCTGAACCTATAACATATCTATCACTTGTTACTTATTCTTTTACTTTTTTTTTTTTTTTTGCTATATATTTAGTTAAACCTACTCATTCAAAACTGAAAACATGGCTATTATAGATGATTCTCTGAACCCTACAGAATACCTAGATTGGCCATGACCTTAATAAGTAGCAGAAACTGGTCTTGAACTCTTCATGTTTCTGCCTACTCTTCCACGTGCCTTATTACAGGTATGTGCCATCATGCCCCGCTCTTTCCTTTGTCTAGATCAGAACTCCTCTGCTCAAATGATCCCTTTTGCCTCAGTCTCTGCTAAATCTGACACTACAGCCAGGAGCCACCATGCTCACTTCTAATAAATCATTCCACCCTTAAACAAATGTTGTGTCGGGCATGGTGATTCACCTTTAATCACAGCACTCAGGAGGCAGAGCAGGCTCTGAGTTAAAAGCTGGCCTGGTCTACAGAGTGAGTTCCAGCACAGCCATGGTGAGAAACCCTGCCCCCCCCCAAAAAAAAAAAAAAAAAAACACAGCAGGTTGTGCATAACATAGCTCTTGCCCTGTTAGCTTAGCTTAAAGCTTAAAGTGTAAGGTGGTTTTAGTAGGAAGGCTTGGCCCACAGGAAGTGGCACTATTAGAAAGTGTGACCTTGTTGAAGGATGTGTGTCATAGGGGTCAGACTTTGAGTATTTTTGGTTTTTTGTTTGTTTGTTTGTTTTTTGTTCTTTCAAGACAATGTTTCTCTGTATAGCTATGGCTGTCCTGGATCTCACTCTGTAGACCAGGTGGGCCTTGAACTCAGAGATCTGCCTGTCTCTGCCTCAAGTGCTGGGACAAAAGTTGTACACTACCACTGCCCCCTTTGAGATTTTATAAATTCAAGTCTGGCCAGTGTTTCAGTTTCTTTCTGCTGCCTGAAAATCAAGACGTAGAACTCTGAGTTCCTTATCAGTACCATGTCTACCTTCATAACGCCATGACAATAATGGAAAAAAACCCTCTGAACCTGTAACCAGCCCCAATTAAATATTTTCCTTTATAAGAGTAGCTGTGGTCTTCCTGTCTCTTCATAGCAATAGGAACCCTAACTAAGACAAGGGACTAGGAAGAGAGCTCAGCAGTTAAGAGCACTGGTTGCTATCCAGAGGACCTGAGTTCTGGTCCCAGCAGAGTTGCTCACAGCCATCTGTAACTCCAGTTCCAGGATATCTAATACCTTCTTCTGGTCTCTGCAGGCACCAGGCACACCCAAGGTACACGGATATACAAAACACCCATAGAGATAAAATTTAAAATATAAATAAAAGAGGTAAAGCTCAAACAAAGCTTCCAGGCTCAACAGTTTCATTGTTACTAACAATACTTGTCAGAGCTGAACAGTCACTTTGGTTTATACTGCTTAATCGTGAACAGATTCTTGTCTGGCTCAAATCACTGAATCAGCCTTTTAATGAGACTCAGCTGATAGGAGCAGACTGGAGAAGCAAGCTCTTTTGTTTTTGTTTTTACAGAGTTTCTCTGTGTAGCCCTGGCTGTCTTAAAACTCATTCTATAGACCGGCCTCCAACTCAAGAGATCTGCCTGCTTCTGCCTCCCAAGTGCTGGGATTAAAGGTGTGTGCCAGCACTACCCAGCTATAGCTTGCTTGCTTGCTTTTTTTTTTTCTTTCTCTCTCAGATTTGTTTATTTATTATGTATAGTGTTCTGCCTGCATGTGTGCTTGCAGGCCAGAAGAGGGCACCAGATCTCGTTACAGATGGTTGTCAGCCACCATGTGGTTGTGGGAATTGAATTCAGAACCCTTTGGAAGAGCAGCCAGTGCTCTTAACCTCTGAACCATCTCTCCAGCCACCCCCCATGGGTTTTCCTCCCTCCCTCCGTCCCCACTCCCTTTCAGTTTTTCAAGACAAGAGTTTCTCTGTTAGCCATGGCTATAATGGAACTCACTTTGTAGACCAAACTGGCCTTGAACTCAGACATCCCCGTCTCTGCCTCCCAAGTGCTAGGATTAAAGCATGCACCATCACACCCAGTTACAGCTGGTTTTATAGTCATCATTTTACAGATGATAACAATTATTGCCCCTACTGGATGTACTACAACTAATAAACTCTGCACTGGTAAGTACTTTGGCTGATTTTTTTTTTGGGGGGGGGCGGTTTACAGGATGTGTGTGTGTGTGTGTTTCCATGTTTTGAGGCCAGAAATTAACCTAAGCTGTCTTGGGTATTGTCTACTGTGTTGTTTGAGATGGGGTTTCTTCATGGCTGGAGTTCATTCCAGAGATCTGCCAATCTCTGCCTCCCTAGTAGTAAAACTGTAAGTGTATGCTACCATGCATGGCTTTTTATTATATGGGTTCAATTCCTGAGACCCCATAGTTGAACAGTATCATACTCAGGTCCCCAGACTTGAAAGAAAGCACTGTACCATTGAGTCTCTACAGCAGCGGTTCTCAACTTGAGGGTTCTTGGGGGGAGAGGGGTTGAATGACCTTTACACAGAAGTTGCCTAAAACCATTGGAAAATCAGATATTTACATTCCGATTCATAACAGTGGCAAAATTCTAGTTATAAAGTAGCATTGAAAGTAATTTTACGGTGAGGATCACCACAAAGTGGGAAACTGTCTTAAAGGGATGAAGCCTTAGGAAGGCTGAGAACCACTGCTCTCCACAGTTGTTTCTGTAGCTATAGTTTGCAATGCAAATTTTTGTAATCTTGGTTCTCTGTTTTTGAGTTTTGTCTTTTGATGCACGGTTTCATATAGCCTGCGCTGGCCTTAAACTTAGTATGTAAACCAAGGGATGACCTTGAATCCCTCATCCTCCGGACCCTTCCCAAATTCGGGAATTGCAAGCTTCTGTCACCAGGTGTCTTTGTTTTGTTTTGGAGACAGGGTTTCTCTGTGTAGCCTTGGCTGTCCTCTGCTTCCAGAGTGCTGGGATTTTAGACACCACCAGGAGCCCCCAAGATAAATTCTTAGAAGTAGAAGAACGAGGTGAAATGTTTGTAAGGTCCCATGAATGAGCTTTATTTTACTGTAATTATTACTCTTAGCTCAATAAAATAGTATGTGTATGGTGAGCATGCCGTGGAGGTTCAAGTATCTTTATGGGCCAGAAGAGGGCATGACCTCCCCTAGAGCTGGAGCTATAGGCGGTTGTGAACTGTGGGTGTTGAGAACTGCATTTGGAAGAGCAGGATGAGCTCTTAATCTCTAAGCCATCTCTTAAGCCCTCTTGTTTAGTTTCTGAGATAGGGGGCCATGTATCACAGGCTGGTTTCAAACTCCCTATGTAGCTGAGGATCATCCTGAACTTCTGATCCTCCTGCCTCTGCCATTTGTGTACTGGGAATACAATTTGCACCAGCACAGTTATGTAGTGCTGAGGACTGAACTCAGGACCTCCTACTTTACATCCCTAGTACTTTATTTTTGAGACAGGGTCTCCCACTACCCAAGTTGGCCTGGAACACTTTATATAGCCCAGCTATACCTGGAACTTGGAAGCTTTTTGTCTCAGTCTCCCAAGTCCTGGGATTACAAACATATAAAACAATACCCAGCTTAAATATTGTTTTTGTTTAAAAATTTTTTAGATTTATTTTATGTGTATGGGTGTTATGCCTGCATGTGTATCTGTGTACCAGGTGCATGCTTTATGCTGTTGAGCTCAGAAGAAAGCATTAGATTCCTTGGAACTGGAGTTATGGGTAGTGAGCCTCCATGTGGATGCTCACAATTAGCAAACCTAGGCCCCACATATTCTTTATAACCAAGCCACTTCTCTATCCCTTAAATGCTGATTTAATAATAATAATAATAATAATAATAATAATAATAATAATAATAATAATAATAATAAACAAGGTGAAAAGGTTGAAGGTTCACAAGTAGAATCTTTGCCTGGCATTCCCAAGCCTTGGGTTTGATCCCTAGTACAAGAATAATAAAAACAATTATGAGCCAAGTGTGGTAGTGCACGCTTTTAGTCCTAGCACTCAGGGAGGCAGAGGCAGGCAGATCTCTGTGAGTTCAAGACCAGCCTGGTCTACAATGTGAGTCCAGGACAGTCAAAGCTCTGTTACACAGAGAAACCCTATCTCGAAAAACCAATAATAATAATAATAATAATAATAATAATAATAATAATAATAACAACAGCAACAACAACAATAATAATAAGAGTGTGGTGGTGAACACCTTTAATTTTCAGCACTTGGGCGGCAAAGGCAAGTGAACCTCTAAGTTCAAGGCTAGCCTGGTCTACATCAAAGTTTCCAGGCTAGTCAGGGCAATATAACAAGTCACCTGTCTCAAAAGTATCTAAAAAGTAATAAAAATGAAAGAAAAAAAAATTAAGGCTCAATGATTTCTCACCAGAGTGAAGAGTACAACTATAGCATCTCAGATTTCACCCACTCTACCGCGTAACTTTTTTATGGGTATAAATTGAAGATGTATACTTGCGAACTTACCAAGAAGCCAGCTATTTTTGGGCATCCCAGTTTCAAACTGACTGCTTAGAGAAGACTGCTGTAATACAGCACAGTCCTGGAGGCTACCTGGCCAGTTTGTCTCCACGGTCATTAGTGTTCCTCTGATGTCACACACCACCAGGCAGTTCAAAGAATGCAGACCCTTGCGGTTCACATAAGAGAGGTCTTCAGCATTTGGTGCCTTGATTGCCACGTGGATACAGTCAACCACCCCTATCACCCCAGGCATCCCTGCCAATCCATAGAATTCATCCTTTAGAGACTGTATAGCAGCTTCATCAGCTGGAAAGTGAATGAACTGTGAGGCCCTTTCCACAAGGGCTTCAGTGACATTGGTAACACAGCGACTCATAGAGGCTTGACTAATTCCAATTGCGTCTCCCATCCGAGTCTGGAAGGAACCTGAGGTATAGAAGCCTAAAGCCGCCAGGATTTGTGTCTCTGGGCTAATAGCCCTAGATCGCTGAGTAGGTCGAGAAAGACTTGCCCCCAAGAGTTCCACTAAGTAGTAAATGAACTGTCGGGGAAATCCATACATGGACATCAAGTAGTCATCAGTCACATCATCCAGCTTAAAACGGTCCAAGGTCCGGTGGCCTCGGCCATACAGCAAGAGATCACAGTCAAGCACTGTTATTGGTATAGCCATTGCCAATGTGGACAGAGTCTTCTATCTTTTCCTAAGTTTTTCCCAATGAAGAGGTTGGCACAAAAAGTGTCAGGATTTAACAGCTAACCCTGGTTAAGTGGCGCTGACATTTATGATCTTCTTTCTGTAAACCTTAATTAAAATAAAATAATTAGAAATCTACCAGAACCATACCAAATGACTCAAATACCTGCAATACCTTTTCAGCAATTCACTTTTTAACTCTGGATTTTTCTCCACTGACTCACCACTGTATGACAAACTTAATCTGATTTGAGGACAATGGGAGTTCAATCTCAGTGGCTCATTTAATGACTGGCATTTCAACTGAGAACAACAAAAGATTAATGGAGATAAAAGAGGTCTATGGCAGCCATGAAACAGCTCACAAGCCATAAACACCTTAAGGATTACTAAGAGAGGCTTGTTTTCCAAAGCCCTATGGCTCTACCTTATAAGTACAAGACAGATCTGGGAGTGTACAAACCAGTCTAACTAGGGAGCTAGGAGAGAAAGAGAAAGAGAGAGGTAGGGAGAGACAGAGAGACAAAGAGAGAACAAGCGCAAACGCGAGTCAGTCCATGACCCTAATGCCTGGGAATCTATTCTGCTGTAACAGGCTTTCCTTTAGGCCAGAAAGGAAGGAAGACTAGCCAGTCTGAAAGGAAGGAAAGGAGGAAGAGGCTGAGAGAACCAGGTTTGGCACGACGGGGCAACTTTTACAGCCCTCCTTAAAATACTATGAAGGGACAAAAAGATGGTTCCAAGGGTACAGGGTATGGTTGCAAATCCTGGTGAAAGGAGCTGGATTCCTGAGGAATCGTCTGACGAAACTTGTCCTCCAACCTCCACATCCTTGCCATAAAACGCTCCTCTCCCAAAACATAATATGGATTTTTTTTTTAAGTTTATTCCTTTAAAAGTTGTGTAAATAAAAGGATGCCCAAGACAGGAATGGTGCCTCACTGTAATTCCAGTACTTAGAAGGGGGAAGCAAGAGGATCATGAGTTCAAGGCAAGCGTTTAGTACAGGAGCGCTAGTTTAAAAGAAAACAAAACAAAAAAAGCCTGGGACGCTAGCAACGCCGCGGGTTCCAGGCTAGCTTGAGCTCCAGCACGTTCTAGGCTAGCGTGAATCACACCGGGGAGACCCTGCCTCAAAATAGCAAGATACCAAAGTGTGACTGCTCGGCCACCCAGAGTCAGCGAAGGCTGGTCACCACCTCTCCGCAGCTACCGCGTCAACCGGGCCACACTCCACCCTCCTGGCCGGAGAAGGCCCTCCTCCGGAACCCGCTGCCGCACACAGCCCGCCACGGTGCGCAGCACGGCACCGCCTCTTCCGGCCGGGGCCCGCCCCACGCCGCGTCATCAGCACCGCGGCCGCGGCGGCCCGCGCTTCGCCGCCGAACATTCCACACGGAGTCCAGCCAGTCTCTCGCTCCCAAAGTTCCTTCCCGTGCACTTTTCATTGCTCCTGAGAGGCAAGTGACTTATCTCTGGAAAGAAGCAAACCAACTTTGACAAAGACTCCGCGGTGCAGCACTGCCTAACGGGGCGTCTGTGGCGTGGCGAAAGTGCGGCTCAAATCAGGCAGCTGCATTTCCCCCAGAGCGCTCTAGCGCCCCGCAGCCTGCACCGAAGCGGATGAAAACAAACACGAACGATGGCGGCGCCGGGGAGCCACTGCTTGCGGGCTTAGGGCGGCACAGATCGCTTGACGCGTGAAGGGGAAGCGCCGAGGGAAACCGGCCGACACCAGTCCGACAACTTGCTCGGTTTCGGGAGCCAGGAGCCTCGTGAACGTGAGGTATCTCTCAGCGACCTGTGCTGTCACTACTGCCCGGGAGCGCGGAGCTCTCAGCCGGGAGGCGCGGTTAGCCGGCCCCAGGCCCCGGCCTCCGGAATGGGAGCCCGGAGCCCCTCTCTGTGCCGTAGTTTCGCAGGTACTCCCTTTGGGGGGGTTAATGCCCCCCGGGTCTTCCAGCGCCCCCGAGTGGAAGGTCACTAATCTGCTTCCCCTTGGCCAGCTTCTTGGGGACACACAAGCCGGCCAGCCGAGGCTCCACTCCCTAACCCCTTCGTTAGGTTTTCTGCGGGAAGTTGCGTTGCTGGCGACCCTGTGGGCTCTTGAGAGGTCCCACCGTTACAGGTGCCCCCCGAAATTTCCTCGCTACTTTCTTAGCTATTTGTATTAATTAAAAAAAAAAAAAAGCTCTATTAGAGATAATTTTAGGGCCATAACTCTGGGGTTGGGTACCAAGAAGAGTAAGGTAGGTTTTCATTAAACCAAAAAAAAAAAAAAATTGAGTGCCAAATATGTGCTCCGCATGTAGGTGAGGGTGACTGTTGGCTAGTGAAAAAAAGGGACCGAGGGTTCACGACATCTTCTTACGAGCAGTGGAACGACCTGTGGAAACCTGCGACCCATTCTCATTAAATAATCTCTGGGTAAGCGGCTAAGCACCTTCCTGCGCTCATCACTAACACATTTCAGTTTTAAATTTCCCACCTAATCTGTTCAGTCCAACCTCAAGATAACATTGCTTTTTGCCCCCCTTGATCTCCCGCAGTGGACAGTCTATCACGTTGCCCAGGTTAGCCTTAAACTGTGCTTCAGTTATTCTCTAGACAAAGCCTCTTGAGTAGCTGGGAGTACTGACCCAGGCTTTCACCAGGCCTCTAGGTTGGGAGAGATGAAACAGTCCGGCCATGTAGCCTAGGTTGGCCTTGAATTACTAGTCCTCTTTCCTTAGCATTATAAGTGCTGAGATTATCAAGCATATGCCACCATGTCTGGCTTTTGAAATCCTTTTAGCTATGTGTATGTTTATGTGTATACACTACATGTATGTATTTATACACACACATGTAGTATGTGTTCTTACTTGAGCATAAACTAGCACTTTGCTCAGTCTTTACAGAGCTATATCCACAACCAATAATACCTCTGTGTCTGTACATTTTGAGACAAGGTCTCCTTGTGTATTATATCTCGCTGACCTGGAATTCACTGTAGACTAGGCTAGCATTGAACTTGTGAGCAGCCCTCTTGCCTCTGCCACCTCTGGGCTAGGCTGTAGGCATGCTCACCTTGCTCAGACAAACCTCATTATCTATTATCTAATCTGTATCTGCTGTTGCTTTTACGATAGGGTGTTCGAGATAGGCCCATGCTGGCCTTCACTCTACATAGCTGGGGTGACCTTGAACTCTTGAACCTCTTATTTCCGAATACTGGAGTTGTAAGTGTGTACCACCATACCCAACACTAAAGCCTGAGTTTAAATCTTTTAAAGGCTTGTAAGTCATTAAAATTATTTCAAGTTCATTTTAAATACCAACCTACTTTTAATTGTAGAGTACATGTAAACTGATTTATTAGAAAAGTCTTCTGAAGGCCAGTATAAGCTACACAGGCAATTTCTTCTAATAGTGTCCCTATGTCCTCAGTCACAAGGGAAGAACTGAGAGTGTGAATCACGACTACTTAGAAAAACAGCTCAATGCCATGAACAGTTGATTGTTAGTAAAAGTAAATGCCTAATACTTAATAGAAGTCATAACAGAATTACAGTTTTGGAAAATGGTGCTTTCACTTTTGGTTCACATATATGAATAAAATGCCCAGTTCAAAGATATTTTACAGTCTTTCTAATTTTTAGTATTGCCAGTAGCTCTAAAGTCATTAAAAATTAACCTAAGATGGTATTAAGATCAGATATTCTGAGGTAGGGCAGATTAGAAACTCTGTTTTAAATAACCTTAAGAAATTATTATTATTATTATTACCACCTTTAATCTCTTGGATTTTTTTTTCCCCCATCCTCTCTTGGTCTTGTTTATGTTTTGGATTTTGTTTGTTTTCTTTGTGCTCTTGGCTGGCCTGGGAGTTGAGGTTATCCTCCTGCCTCATCATGCCTCATCATTGTTCTTGACTCCTAAGTATTCACTACCACACCATGCAGCATAAAAAAAAAAATAGTACATTTGTGCATGAGTATGTGTGTTTATTTGTGACTGGGCACATGTGTGCCAGGGGGTCAGAGAACTTGTGTGAGTAGATTCTCTCTTTTTTTTTTTTTTTTTTTTTTTCTTCTTTCAAAACAGCGTTTCTCTGTGTAGCATTGGCTGTCCTGGACAGCTTTGTAGGCCAGGCTGGCCTTGAACTCACAGAGATTCGCCTGCCTCTGCCTCCCCAAGTGCTGGGATTGCAGCCTACACCACCTTGCCCAAGTGCAACATTTTATATTTTGAGACAGGGTGTCTCACCAAACCTGAAGCTTGCTGCTTTGGCTAGACTGGCTGGTCAGAAAGCTTCCTGCATTTCACCTGTGTGTGCCTCCACCCGTGAAGGGCTGGGGGTGCTTTCTGTGTTGCCTGGCTTTTACATGGATGCTAGCAATGTGAAGTTGGGTCCTCATACTTATGTAGTAAACATTTCATACATTGAGCCATTTCTCAGCCCAGAATTTATTATAGTATCACGTTTTCATTCTTTTTCATTGTTGCCTTCTTGTCTTTCTTTTAAAAATTAATTTTTGGGGGTAGATTTGTGTCATAGTGAGTATGTGGAGGTCAGAAGACACCTTTGTGGAATCAGTCCTGTCTTCCCTAAGGTCTCTAGATTTGCACAGCAATTGTCGATTACTCACTGAGCCGTGTTGCCATTCCCTCCGTTTTGACCTTAGTGCTTCCATTGGTGTTGAATAACTTGGAAAGTTACCAAATCTGATTTAAGAGTTTTCATGGCTGGCTGGCACTTACTGCCAAGCCTGATGACCTGAATTTGATCCTGGGGGACCCACATGGTAGAACGAAAGAACTGAATCCCATAAGTTATCCTCTGATACACCCCACACAAGTATCTCACGCCAAGGAGATGAACAAATAAATGGAATTAAAAATTTTTTACAGTTTTTATGGAACTTATTCTTTTAACTACCATCTCTCTTATAAGGGTGTGGTTGAGCTTTCCAGTGGTTAAATACTTGGTCTTTGGTGCCGTGTAGGGCCCCAGACTAAGTGCCTCATTAGTATAAACCTAGTGTTATTTGAAAAACAAGACTTCTCACTGGGGAGGTGGAGCACATATCTTAGCACTCTGGAGGCAGAGGCTGGAGAATCTCTGAGTTCAAGGCCAGCCTGGTCTACAGAGTGAGTTCCAGGTCTTTAGGGCTACACAGAAATACTGTCTCAAAATAATCAGAAAAAAGAAAAGAAAAAAAAATTTTTTTTTTTTCACTCAAAATTTCTAAGATGTTTCAAGCTCAGTGACAGATTCTGGAGACAAACACCGCATATTCCTTATTCTATAATAGCTTAAGTGTTCAAACAAACAAACAAAACATTGTAATCCTAGCACTTGGAAGGCTGGTAGCTAAAGTTTTGGCCAGCTTGAGCAATATAGTGAGACAGTTCCTCAACAAACAAATCTGGTTGGAGAAAAATGTATGGTCGCTGAAAATGGTTTAGTAGTTTAAAAGCACTGGCTGCTCTTCTGGGAAGCCCAGGTTTGATTCCACAAGTTAGCTGTATGTAATTCCAGTTTCAGGGGCTCCAATACCCTCTTTATAGGCGCCAAATGCACAGGCTTGGTGCACAGGCAAAACACCCATACACATAGAATAGAAACAAATATTACACAAAACAAAACAAATGTGGGTGAAACCCATCTCTTTGTAAAATAAGATTTTGATACAAATCTGGAGTTGAAGGCCATCCTCAGCTGTTTACCCTCAGTCCCTGGCCACCGTGGGAATAAACCAAGACAGAAGGGGTAAACAACAACAAACAAAGAAAAATCAAGATGATGAAAAGAGTTGAAAAGGGATCCTATGAACAGTTAGTGGGAGTGAGCAATCATACAGTTCCTTAAATGAAATTTAAAGCCAGGTAGTGGTAGTGCATGAAGCTCTGTGTTCAAGACCAGCCTGGACTACAGAGTGAGTTCAGGACAGCCAGGGGTACACAGAGAAACCCTGTCTCAAAAAACCAGAAGAAAGAGAGAGAAATGAAATGTAGACTTATATGGTCTAGCAACTTTACTCCTGAGTTTATACTTATGAAATTTGACGCCTGTGTTTGTAGCAGTCAGCATTGCTAATCAGAGCTAAAACATAGAAGTAACTCAGGCAAGTACATTAGTGGGTAAATGGATTTTAAAAAATTCATATGCAGTGTTACTTCATCTTCCAAAAGAAGAAAATTCTGAACTATGCTGACCTGGTTAGCATTAATTGTTAACTTGCCTTGGCCTAGGGTCACCTGGAAGAGGAAGCTCAGTTGAGTGGTCATCAGCTGGAGTCTCCATCAGATTGG